CACACACACACACACATATCTTTTTTTATTTTTAGCTGAGCCATTCTGCCACCTGCTGGCAGCTCAGCGGCTGCTCAGCTCGGGCGGAACTCAAACTGCTGTTGCTCAGAGCTCACACTCTTGAGGCAGCTCTTAACCAACTGAGCCACTCATCCGGCCCTGCTTTGAATATTTATTTGTTCCTTCTCCTCATTGAAGTGTCAGCTTGACTGTCACCTCCTTAGACTTTCTCCACCTACTCTGACTGCCATAGCCCTTCCAGTCCATTACTAGGTCTTTCCCCTGTGTTTGACCATCAAAACCCCAATCACTATCTGAGATTGTTTGATCAATTGTCGTGTTTGTCTCCCTCTCACACGTGTGAACTCCATGAGATCAAAGATCTTATCTGTCTTCTTCACCACTGTATCCCTCGTGCCTAGACTACAATCTGGTACATGTGAGGCTCTCAGTAAATACTTATGGAATGAATGAATGAATGAATGAATAGAGGGAGGGAAGAGCATTTTTTTTTTAAATTGGGGAACAGTGTGTTTTTCCAGGACCCATCAGCTCCCAGTTAAGTAGTTGTTTCAATCTAGTTGTGGAGGGTGCAGCTCAGTGGCCCATGTGAGGATCGAACCGGCAACCTTGGTGTTGTGAGCACTGCATTCTAACCAACTGAGCTAATCAGCTGCCCCCGGAAAGAGTATTCTTGGCAGAAGGAACTAACATGAAACCTCTTGGCCTTTTCCAAAAGGGTTGATAGTGGGTTAAACCATATGAAATTGTTGATGTTTGACCATTTTTTGTCTAACAATGTCAATTTCATAGCCAGTAGTCTGATATGGCTGATACAGGGCCAGGGCAGGGGCGCAGCGGGAGAACTTGAGCGAGAAGCAGACACTTCACAGACATCTTTGCCCATCGTACCAACTTCATTCTTTTTTCTTTGCTTGAATTAGATACATTTATTTTTTCTATATATTAATTTGTTTTATTTTTTATTAGTTTCAGGTGTACAAAAACAACATAATGATTATACATTTACACCCCTCACAAAGTGATAAACAACTTCATTCTTTGGTGATGGTTAGCCCAGAAGGTCTTTGAGCTGGGAAATAATATATTCATATTTGTGGTTTAGGAAGATCACTTTGGCTACCTAAGGAGGATAGTCTATAAGGGGAGAGAGGGCAGTAGTTCAGGTGAGAAGTGATGAGGTAAACTCCTAAAGCAGTAGAGGGGGAGGAAGAGGAGGAGGGCCTGGAAAGAGGCACCATGGAAGGGGTTGGGTGTTAATTTTGTTGGAAGGGGAAGACTGCCTCAATTTAAGTTCAGTGTGTTAATATTGTGCATTGGCAGATTGGGGGAGAAGGGTTGTCACTTTGAGGGGTAAAAAGTATAACTATTGCACTGAGTTGTACACCTGAAACTAAAATTAGAAAAATATATATTGTGCATCAACTCCATACAGAGCACTGCAGGAGTAAGTGAAGCGCAGCCCTTGATTTAAAGCCCATAGGCAGGGTGGTCAGAGTCATAGAGATACAGATAACAAGCCTCCCTCCCCCAATGGTTTAGCATGCTTTTATACCCTTATTTCACAGAGAAGGAAAACTAAAGCTCAGAGTCTTGGGCAAGGTCAGACAACTAGTATGCTTAGTACTCAGGCACAAACTGGTCCTCAAAAATTTTTCTTAATGAAAGTGCATCTTAGACAAAAAATGTTTTACAATGTTTTTCGATGTTTCTAAGAGTAAAAAATATGCATTTTTAAAATATAGTCTAAATGACAACCAAAATAATTTAACTGTGAACTTGGAAGTATTTTTCTATTAGAAAATCATTTGATATTAACTTTTTGTATGTGTTTTCACACTTTAGTGACTGTAAACTGTTGCTCAGTGAGAATCACTCAACAGTAAAAGTTTGTTCCAGTTATGAAGTGGACACCAAATTACTTTCTTTGATACACTTACCTGTTAAAGAGTCTCGTGATTATTATTCATTGGGTGACATTGTTGCAAATGGACCAAGTCTCAATGGGAGAATAATTAATGTGCTTGCAGCCGTGAGGTCGGTAAGTTAAAACCTCAACAAAGTCAAGTTCAGTTTGGCAGGGAAGTTCTATAACTTAATTTGTGTTTGGAAAGTAGTAACCAGTTGGAGTAAATTTTCCTCTGTATCTGATCCGTAGTCAGTTGAATTAAGAAAATGGTAGCAGTTCTCATGAAAGGGAAAGTAGCATTTTATCTGTGAATGAGTAGCAAAATACAATTGTATTTGAATGTTAAAAGCAGTACACCCTTATAAATGATTCGCTAACTATATGAGAACTTTTCATACTTTGGTTAAAGAGAGACACAAATGGAAAGGGTCAATTCATTGACTTGAAGATTTCCATGAAGTTCCTTAAAGGGATTTAAGTTGTATAAATCAAGGAATCAATCCTGTGTGTGTTCTCAGAGCTGTCCTGCGATGGGGGAGGGAATGAATACTCACTGGACTGCAGAGGGGCCTGGTGAACAGTTACAGGGCATCACATGGGGGAAGAGCAGGGAAGGACAACACTCCCTGGGGCTCCTTGGGTGTTTTTACCATTCATTGCAGCAGCATCTCCCTCTTACTTAATTATTGCCCCAAGTTTTGAACTCCGTTGGACAGACTAAAGTTACTTGGCAGGGACTGAGAGGTGGACCTCAAAAGTAAAGTTTCACAAAATAAAGTACACAAAGAAAATGAAAGTGCAAGACCAGTTCCCCAATGTATGGAATGCTGATAGTCAAAAGACAAAAAAAAAAGGAAATTGACTTAGGTACATGTAGTTAATGCTGTAGGTAATTGCTAATTGCCTTTCCATATTGAATTACTGACCTATAAATGTACCCCATGACAAGCCCATGATGGCACAGGCCATGTCTGATTTTTTCATTAGCCTAGCACAGAGCCTGCCACACAGTGAGCAGTCAATACAATTCAGGATGGAGGAATAAACACCATATCTGACAATCTTGAAAAGTAGGAGAAATCACTTTCTGGGCAATTTAGGTTCAATCTTACTTAAAAAGGCAGGATATGATCTCTCAATTTTCCTGCAAGCCTATATAATGTCATTATATTACAATGTAGTAAGAATTTTCTAAAACTCAGTTTGAATATAAGCAAAAGTCTGCAATAGCTTTTTCCATGCCCCTCCCCCCACCTCTACCCCTATGAGTCTGGTACTTTCTTTCATTGGATTACTTCTCATTTTCCACTGCCTTCCTTCTCCCATTTTGCTTCCATCCCTCTTTCATTTCCTTTCTTCACATTTTAATTTAATTTTTTCTTATCTCTGCTTAGGTCTCTTTCCTTTAAAACTACCTTTTATACAATTTTTTCGTGTGCTGCGACGTGGCAGACCTCTCTCTTACTCTGGCTGTCCTTACTCTGACTTGCTTTCTAGATCCTCTTCTTCGGCTAGCAGCTGTGAGTCTTTCTTCAGCTCCTTCCCATGGAGCTCAGCCCTGCCAATAGATGCAGTGGTGACAGTGGCATAGGGGGCAGCCAGCTGATTGTCCGTGCTTGGGCCATTGCTGTGCCGTTGTCTGAGGCACCTGCTGTTCCATGCGAGAACCCCTGGTGGGGACAGAAGGGCCCCCGAGTTCACCTCCATCTCCACTATGCTCTTACCCCGCAGTGTGGATCAAATCAGACAGTGTGTCGAAACACTTTCCCATACATCTCTCATTTGATCCTCGCCTCCTTATCCCTCTGAAGGCACAGAGTAGGTATGGCTATCTATCCCTGCACTAGCAAGGTGAGGACGCTGAGGCTCAAAAAGACTGAGTTCATCCAGTCACATGAGCTCTGTGCCAGGCCCTGCGCTAAGCCATGGGGTACACAGGTGTTGAAAATATGTGTTCTCTCCTCAGTGAGTCCACATAGGTGCCACCCAGGGGCTTATCATGGGGCATTTTTTCTGATATGTTGAAAAGATCCCACAGTCTTAATTAACTTAAAATACATATATCAGTATCTTTCTTCAATCAAAGTGTATAACCTACAACTTTAGCAAAATATACCTAGTTTAGAGTTAGATGCTTTTAAATAATCAAATATATGTTAGCATTCTTGTTATTTTGATATTTATAATTTGCTGTTTAAAAGGTAAGCATTTGAGTATTTTCATCAACAAATATTTCGATATCTCTATAACTATAGGTGAAGAATAATGATCTCCTTCCATTTCTAAGGTTGGAGAGCCAAAATTCTTTACAACTTCAGACCGAAGAAAAGGCCAGAGGTGTGAAGTTAAGCTCTATGATGAGATGGAGTCTTCTTTTGCAATGATATGGTAATCTCCCCTATCTGTTCCAAACTGTGAGATCCCTGCTATTATCACCAACACAGAACATTTTAATTTTATCAAAAAGATGATGGAGTTCATATAAGGAGAGGAGTAATAATAGGAAAGAAATGATATTCAAAAAATAAACCTTGCTCTTATATGTTGAATTATTACAGTCGGTGCTGTAAGATTACCTTAAAATGAGATCTTTAGATGGCATGGGATTGCAAAGATGGGCTCACTGCGAGTGGGGTATGATTGTACTTTTATAACAAATGTCGATTTGTTAGGTCCCGTTGATAATGAACATGCCAGACTTCCCGCAATTCCTTGGGTAGTACTGTGGAGCCAGACCATGGAAAGATGATAGAAAAGCAGGCGTTGTCACAGGTGGTGTTCTGTGGGGCTGCCAGTGTGTGGATGCTGGGCAGAGCTGCATTCAGAAGCATTGCAGGGTGTAACCTGGCATTGTTTAGACTCCAGATGCTTGGGTTCCAAGGAAGGCACTTAATTTAAAATGAGCCTTCAGGCCGGCCGAGTGGCACCTTGGTTAAGAGTTGGCTGGGGAGCGCCAGCTCTGAGCAGCAGGGCCCCAGTTCGGATCCCACATGAGGGCCAGGGAGGCTGCGCCCTCTACAGCTAAGATGGTGAACAACAGCTCAACCTGGAGCTGGGCTGCCGTGAGCTGCCAGCGATGGCGTAGGCTGCAGCAGCCCCTGCTGCAGTGGGCTGCTGTGAGCTATGGTGAGTGGCTGGCAGCCTGCGTGAGCTGCCGTTGGCCGCTGTGAGCAGCCGTCCAATGGCTGGGGAGCGACTGCCTCACCTGGGAAGAGCACAATGATAATACCAACATGGGCCAGTGAAACGACGTCCTCCACAGCTAGACTGAAGAACAAAAGGACAACAACTTGTCTATTCCCCTTCCCCCAATTCCCCAATGCTGTTCCCCTCCCCCAATTCCCCAATAAAATCTTCAGAAAACAGAACAAAACAAAAACAAAAAATGAGCCTTCAATCCACCAAGTCCCCTGAGCAGTTTATTGGGGGTTGGGGGTGGGGGGAGTGGGGGAGCGGGGGTTGATGGTCTGAAAAGTGACTTTAAAGTCTTTAGACTTATAGCCACTCAGTTCCAACCAGTCTGGAGTGACCTGAGTAGTAAGAAAAGACAGAAACAGAAGTTGTTAGAACAGGAATGGTAGTGAAGAAATGGTCGATCCCGTAGTAGGTGTTAAATGCTCTGTGTAGCCCTGCAAAATGCAGGAGAAGCCGACATCCTTAACCTGTGCCTTCAACCACCTGGGATAGTTAACCCCAGACCTTGAGACATTCTCTTTTGGGTAAATAATGTGGTCACTGCCAGTTTTTTCTAATGTATTCAATTTTTATCACTTCTTAAAAAAAATGCAGTTGGGATAATGAATCCGTCCTACTTGCACAGAGCTGGATGCCACGAGAAACAGGTATCAGACTTCAACGATTGTGTTTAGTGTTGGTCTTTTTTTTTTTTTATCTCCTCCATGTAATCATTTTAAAATGGCTTTTCCCTCACACAGTAATATTTGCCTCTGATGTAAGAATAAGTTTTGACAAATTTCGGAACTGCATGACAGCAACTGTAATCTCAAAAACCATTATTACAACTAATCCAGGTAAAAAGCTATCTAAAATTTCTTATCCCTTTGGAAATTACTGTATCACGTGTTCCAGTATTTGTGTAGTATATCTAAGAGTGAAAATGAAGCTTAGATTGCATTTGAATTAAAAGTGAGAGTATTTTATATGACCTTTTAAAACTTACAATGAGCTATATCTTTGCTATCTTTATTAAAGAAATGTGAAAACCCAGACTCATTTTTAAAACATCAGCCCTTGTAATGATTTTTTTTTCAGACTGCTTAACCACTCCACCATGCTGTATGTAGCAATGGGAAGTATAGAAATAATTTATTATCATTACTATTTTTTTTTCAGTTACAGTTGACATTGAATATTATTTTATGTAAGTTTCAGGTCCTTCTAATGATTCTTGAGAGATCATTGCTATTGATAGGGTAACCTAAATAATTGACTATTTAAAATAAATTCAGTTTCATTACATCTAAATTAGTTACTGCTAGGGCACCGAGAACGTATATGTAGTATCATTAATTCACAATTGTAACTCAGTGTCCAGCAGGCCCACTGGCATGGTTGTTGAAAAGAGGTATAGCTTATTATAGCATGAAATCAGGGGAGCAGGACCTGGGGAGGTAGGGGTTTGGTGCCTTTTAGCCTCCTCGGGGTGCTTTACGGTGCAGAGGGAGGTTAGCCCAAACATTGCAGGAGAGTGCAGAATTCCCAGAAATGGAATCACCCTTCACAGTCCCAAGAAGGTATAGATATAATAGTGTGTCATTTAAAACAGGAGCTCTCTCTACTGGCCAATAACAAAGCATCAACAGTGACTGAGAGCTTTAAAACAATTTTATATCTTTGACCAAACCATTATTAGAATTTTTCGAAGTAGAAGTACTACTGAATTTGGCCTGGGAAAATATCTAAATGACAGTTGTGTTTGTTTGTTGGAAAGGTTATCAAGCTTGACAGATCTAATTGTATCAAAAACTCAAGACTAAGTTAATGAGACAGATATTCAATGGATGCTGTACATTTGACTCTGAAAACAGATTCAAAAGTGAAATGTCAACGTGTTTGGAGCAATGCCCACATTATTAAAATAAATCCCTTATTTCTCAAGAAGACACATTTCAAGGAGAGTTCTTATAAGGGAGCATGGATTTCAATGTGCTCGTTTAAATCAGCCTTCTTTCTAATTTCCTACACCTGCCATGTGGAAATGAAGCACCTGTAATGGCTTAAGCTTTCATCCTGGCCAGGATGTCCAGGCTTACTTCTGGCTTTCTGTGTCCTGAGAGTGTTCATAGGATAGGGAAAGCATACTTTCTGACAGTCCCAGATGACCCTGTTGTCATCAGAAGGGCTTTTTACGGCAATGCCTGCACCTCATTCTTCCTACCAGTTTCTGCCCAGGAAGCCCACTGGCTTGATATCTGTGGACCTAATCCAGCATCTGCTCCCACCTGGTGTGCAGAAATGCTGTGTTTCAAAACACTCATTCATTCACTCATTCATTTACAAATATTACTTTAATTTGCCAAGTACAGAGGTAACTTAAATCCTTTCTGGAGCAAGGCAGGACACGAGTAGAAGGATGGTGGGATGATGAGTGGAAAGATAGTCACTATATGTATTGGATACTGGAAATACAGAGACGAAAAGGAAAAATCCCTGCTCACAATTTCAGTCTAATTCTGAGAAAGAACAGTGATAAGACTTGTGTCACAGGAGGAAGAAATGCCTAACTCTGCCCAGGGGTGTCAGGGTCCAAGAATCATCGGGACGATCTGTAGAATGTTTCAGTGGGTGAGTGAGGGCTCTTAAAAGAAATCAGGTGTCTGAGGCTGGGCACCAGAGTCACATGAGAGCCCTTTATCAAAATCACATTCTTGCCTCCTGGCACCCCACCTGACTATTCCTGAGAATACTCACATCCCAAATTGAGGAGCAAACCTTTCAGATAACATTAAAAAAATAATTCTGATTAGAAAAGAAATACATACAAAATTCAGAAAATACATAAAAGGATAAAAAGGAAAACAAAGATCACCTATAATCTCACCATCCTGTAAGACAGACTCATTTCTTTGATAAAAATTCTTCCAGATAATTTTGCATATATATGTACTTTTTAAGTTGAAAGGAAATTGTTACACATAGTTTTGTGAGCTGCTCATGACACTATCTGGTGTGTGTGTCTCTCCATGGTAACAGAATGCTATTTCACATTGTTAATGGCTGCCTAATGTTCTATTTGTCTTCACTTTTTACCATTAAAAATAATTTTGGATCATTCACAATTATTTAAAAAGTAACTAGTTTGCTTTTTCTTAATGCATTTTCAATTTAAGATACACCAGAAGGTAATATCCTATTGAATTTTATAAGAGAAAATAAAGAAACAAATCCTCCGGATAATGAAGTTGATAGTCATTTGAAAGAATCGATAAATTGTAAGTGACCTTTAAATATTATTTGAAAATATAAAAGGCCAAAATTTGAGCCCATAAAGTTTTGTTTTACATAGTAAAAGATACTATATTTTTATTCTGTAATTGCTATATTTCCACTTTTAAAAGTAGTTTAAAAAATTTGGAGCTTTCAATAAACTTGCCAATCTGATGAAAGCTTAAAAAGTGAGTTGACTGTCTTTTTCTTGCTGATTTTATAAAATTTTTAAAATATTTTTTTATTTTTTAAATTATAGTTGACGTACAATATTATATTAGTTTCAGGTGTACAACATAGTGGTTAGACATTTATACAATATGTGAAGTGATCACCCCAATAAATCTACTACCCATCTGACACCATACATAATTATTACAACATTATTGACTATGTTCCCTATGCTGTATTTTACATCCCCATGGCTATTTTGTAACTACCAATTTGTACTTCTTAATCCCTTCCCACTTTTCACCCATCCTTCCATCCCCTCCCACCTGGCAACCATCAAAATGTTCACTGTATCTATGAGTTTCTATTTTGTTTGTCATTTATTATGTTTTTTGGATTCCATATATAAGTGAGATCACATGGTATTTGTCTTTCTCTGTCTGACTTATTTCACTTAGTGTAATACTCTCTTGGTCCATCTATGTTGTTGCAGATGGCAAGATTTCATTCTTTTTTATGGCTGGGTCTTTATTGATTTTTAAGAATTCTTTATATATTCTGGATATGAGTTTTTTTGTCTCCTTATAGATTGCTAGCATCTCCTACTCTGTGGCTTACCTTTTCATTCTTCTAATGGCATCTTCTGATGACCATAAATTCTTCATTTTAATGAAGACTAATTTCCATTCTTTCCCTTTTTTTGCCTTTTTGTTCATTTATATAGTCATTTTTAATATAGCAAATATAATAATTTTTCTATTATTTAACTGAAGCTTCTACATGTCCTCATTTGAACTTTGTAGCTTTTCTATTTGAATATAATTCTTTGGAGTTCTTAGAACATATATATATATATATATATATATATATATATATGTGTGTGTGTGTGTGTGTGTGTGTGTGTGTGTATATATATATATATATATATATATATATGTGTGTGTGTGTGTGTGTGTGTGTGTGTGTATATATATATATATATATATATATATATATATATATATATATATATATATGTGTGTGTGTGTGTGTGTGTGTGTGTGTGTGTGTATATATATATTGAGAGAGAGACAGAATGCTATAAAAATTTCTTTTTATTTTTAGTAGATACAATAGTTGATGTCTATACAGTTGAACAATTAAAGATAAAAGCTTTGAAGAATGCAGGAAAAGCTGATCCTTTCTATGGAATTATTTATGCTTACATTTCTATACTGAACATTGATGATGAGACTAAAAAAGTAGTTCGAAATAGATGGTAAGCAGCCAAATTATTTTAAGCAAATTTATTCTTGCAAGAAATAAAGAACAATTACTATTAATACATTTTAAGCTCTATAAAAGTTTAAGCTATTCTTTGACATCACAGTGGTTATATATTTGAGAGAAATATATAAATAAATAATCTATACTGAAGTTTCCATGGTAAACTATTTAGAGTCAAAGATTGTAATTGCCTTTTAAAGTAAAATTTAATTTATTTTAAGTCTGTAGTCCTAAACTATAAAGATATGACATAGCCAGAAACTTTTAACTGGAATGACAAACTGTTGTTTTATAATGTGTTTAGAAAATTATTTTGGTTGCCACGCTCTATAGCAAAGCAAGTTGACAGCATTTAAAAAAAATTATTTTCAACTGCATGATGAATATGATTTCCAACTTTGTATAGGTCAAAATATCTACATGCATACAAAAGTAAACCCCAGTAGATTTAATAGTCTTATCCAAAAGATGCTTGGCCAGAAACATCTAAAATGTTATTGTGAAAGTGTTCCTATGGATTTTTGTAATTGAAGTTTTTATTGAGATAGTTCTAGGTTAACATGGAGTTTTAAGAAATAATACAGAGAGAACCCAGTACACTTTACCCAGTTTTCCCCCATGGTAACATTTTGAAAAACTATAATATTAATATCACATCATAGCCAGGATATTGACATTAATACAGTCCATTAACTTTATTCAAATTTCCCCAGATTGACATGCAGTCATTTGTATGCGTGTATATGTATGTGTGTGCATTAAATTCTACATAGGTTTGTGTACCTACCACCATGGTCAAGATATTGACCTATGGGTTTTTTAAATGCTTTATGATTTCGTATTAAAGTTGAAAAAACTAACATGAAGGCTGTGTGTAAGGTGGGTGTATATTTTTTGAAAAATGTCTTTTTCAAAATTTAAACAATTTTTATCTCCCTCATTTTCCATTCCATCTTTAATATTGATGTGTGAGAGAGAGCATCTACAATTTACTTTAAAGGTGAACTGTGGCTAGGTAAGAACCCACTATCTTCAGATCACTCTCTCCACTTGAGATGTTTGAATTAGTCTTCCTTCACAAATCAGCTAAAGTAAGGCCTGCTTCAAAAATATGGAATAGCATGTAATTAACCACCTAAAGAGAGGTGAATGTGTCACTAGCCGTACGAACAGCATTTACCAGGTGTGAACCTGCCCAACCCTAGAGTTTTTCTGTAAATGTGCAGAAGATCTATAATAGTACAGCACCATCAATGGAACATTTGTGGAACCCATGCTTTCTAGGCACAAGACCCAATTCCTGCCATCAGAATTCCAAGCCTGGGAGATAAGATAGACATACCTGTAATAACAAGGAATAGGACTGGGCAGGATATATAGTCAGTGCTGAAGTATCAGTTCTGCAGCTATTCAGAGAAGGGAAGGGGTGAGGGCTGGTGTGCAGGAAAGGAAGGCCCCAACAGGGAAATGAGCCTGGGCAGGAACCCCAACCCCAGGGAAGGTGGGAAGCTGGAGAGCGAGAGGACTGACTTGTCCCAGGTTCAGATGAATCACAAATACTGAAAGTGACATTGACTGGGAAGGATGCACATTTATTGTTCCTTGTAATTCTGTATGTCTGTCTTGTACCCTGCACAGTGCGGAGCCCTCTGAAATGACTTACTCTGATTTAGACTTTTACATGATAATACTTCTGCTAGAGATCAGATTTTGTCATTTAGGGCCGTCACATTTTATCATTGTCTTTGTTTTTCAGTTCTGGCTGTGGTTACATTGTAAATGAAGCTTCCATTATTTGTACAACTTGCAACAAAGATTCTTCGGAATTTAAATCTGTTTTTCTCAGCTTTGATATGCTCATCGATCTTACTGATCACACAGGCACCCTCCACTCCTGTAGCCTCACAGGGAGCGTTGCCGAGGAGACTTTGGGCTGCACGGTAAATAGTAAAATGGAAAACAGGTTTAGAAATATTTCCAAATTGGATTCTCTTACCCCAAAAATAGAGGTTGTTTTGGTGACCATATTTGATAGAAATGAATTCATTAATAAAGAGGGAGGTCTAGGGGAAAATCAATCTTGATTTAAACATACATTGCTTTATGAACAAATAATTACATATGGTGTATTAAAATCATAGCTAATATTAATTGTTAAGAGTAATGGGTGACAGAGGCCCTGGGCCATCACGGAGAATAAACAAGACTGTATATTTTCTATGGTCAAGTAACAATGGGTAATGGGACAGTGGAGGCGTTGTTCAGCTATAAGCTGGCTTTCCCAGAAGGAGGGTTTGGCTGCATTTCACCTACCCAGCGGTCTAAAGTCAGCTGCGCGTGTTCTCTTCCATCTGCTGCTATAGGACAGAAGCAGATACTTAGAGATTGACATGTGTGCTTGATGATACGCACTTGTTTTTTATTGTTAAAACCAGCTCCTGAAGGTTACCGCAAAACCTCAGTTCCAAGTGGTTTCCAGTTTGTCAAAGGAGTTCCCTGGGGCAAGCCACCTGATTGGCTTCAGAGATTCAGTTTTGAGCCTTTTCTCTGGCCTTATTTCCTCCATCAAGAGCATTGAGCTGTAATTACTGTGAATAAAATTCCACTTTTAATTAGTAAATTGAAGTTTCACATTGTTGTCAGTATATTTATATATACTTTGGAAATGTTTGTTTGTTTGTTTTTTAAACCAGGTAAATGAGTTTTTTGCAATGACGGATGAACAGAAAACAGCACTAAAGTGGCAATTTCTCTTGGAAAGAAGCAAAATTTACTTAAAAGTTAGTGTATTTTACAGTACTATGTTATTCTATATTTTCAAATCAAAGAAAATCCTAGAGTATGAACTAATAAATTAGGGAATTTGTTCTTTTTAATAATGCCCAATTCCCAGATGTGCAGAAGGTTTTGGCTACTGTAGAAACAATGGAAGTAATCAGGTTTTTTCATACAGCATGAAGGACTTACAAATGACACCAAAGAAATAAGTCAACAAAGAATATATCCAGTAATGTTAACTCCAAGACAAGGCGCCAGGCTTTAAAGTCAGAGCTGGGTCTGCCCCACCCCACAGCCCATGTAGCAATCTCACTGCAGTGAGCAGGATGCAATAGCACAGGCAGACAACCAGACAGTTGGAATGAGTTTGCTTGTAGATGCAAAACTGGCCTCTTCTGCAGGACCGAGGCAATTGCATCTTCACCCAGACAGAGCTCATTTAGATTTCTGTGAGCAGCAGCATCTGCATCACTATCAGTTTCCCATGACCTACAGTTACAAAATAGCTCAGACAATGCCACGAAAGGTGCAGACCATGACAGTGAGCCCAGATAACTTGAAAGGTGCTCTAGCCAACCCCAAACCGTGGGGGAGTATTCCGCTGAAAGATGCCACTTACTTTTATTGCCGATTTCCAAGTTTTCCACAGTGTTTGCTGATATTAGTACATTTTTTTCCTAATAAGTCTTTGACATTAAAATGGCTACCTAATGTGTCCTTCCACTCTATATCAAATAAAATGTTGGTGAAAGTGCTTTATTAATAGTCAGAAATAAGATATCATTATTAATAAACTTTATCATAATATTCCTATATTCTAACAGATTGTTACTATGACAGGTTAATGTCTGGCACAACTGGTAGTTTGAACACACTATAAGCCCTTTTTTCCTACATGTTGGATTTGAAATCCCAACTTTCTTGCCAGAGAGAAATGTCATGAAAAAAATGACATTAGTTTTTATAAAATCACTGTCAGAAGCCAGATCTGTAATTTCTCTACTGAACTCTGCCTGAAACTTGAACTCTCTCCATCTTACAACTTTAATTGAAGTTTATATTAACACCTGTAAACAAAACTCATTGCAATTCTCTGTTTCATTCACTGCTGTGGTCATTGGTTTTAAATTTTATATACATGGTGATTTTTTAAAAAATTATTTCCTTTTTTCAGTTACAGTTGACATTCAATATTGTTTTATATTAGTTTCAGGTGTACAGCATAGTGGTTAGACATTTATATAATTTATGCAGTGATTCCCCTTGATTAATCTAGTAACCATCTGTATACACGGTGATTTTGAAAACTAACTAGCTCTTTCTTTTTCTTTCTACAGTTTTTTGCATCCCCCAAAGCGAGGGGTGGATTGAGAATCAGTGTGTTGTCATGTAAGCTTGCAGATCCTGTTGAAGCAAGTAAGAACTTGTCTGGACAAGGAAATATTTAAACCAGATATCATTTTAAGACTTGTTTTTTGTTTTATTTTGTTTTGTTTTGTTTTAGCTGAGCCATCCTGCCACCTGTTGGCAGCTCAGCGGCAGCTCAGCTCGGGCCGGACTCGAACCGCTGTTGCTCAGAGCTCAAACCTTTGAGTGAGCTCTTAACCAACTGAGCCACTCAGCCAGCCCAACCAGATATCATTTTAAACTCTGAAAAAGAATACGAGTTTGAACCCCCTTTAAAGTAGAAAATGAGTTTGAAAATTATGGATAAAATTGTATTTTGTTCAAATATGGTAAAAATGTTTCTCTAAATTGTTATGATTTCCTCCTGAAGTTGGTTTGGGGATAAGTCTTAAATATCTCTCTTACCTGAGCTCATTTCTTAGAAGGTTTTTCTACCAGCTTTGCCCTCTGTCTTTCCAAGTTGGAAAATGTTTGTATTAATTAATAAACAAGTTTCATCTTTCCTACAGATTGATTCCTTGTCTTAAGCCCCTTTCCTCTTTGTCTTATTTACCTGGAGGAAGATCAGAACCTCTAAAGATGACTAACCTAGAGCTTGGCAATGGCTCAGGCAGCTTTCCTGTAGCTCAGAGGCTCTGTCTGTGCCAGGTGGGAACAGCAGGAGTCCACAGACAACAGTACAGCTTTGAACACCGTAGAGCTTTGCGAATCCCTTTCCTTTTCTCACGATACACTGGAGCCACCCAATGCTTGAGAAGGCTAGCTGACTCAATGCTTGTGATTATGAGTCTGAATCAACTGGGAGGAGACCAACTTCAAAAGTTCTATGAGTGGTGCAGAGTCTCAGGAGCTTGGAAGGGTGGGAGGCCCAGTGGGAGCAGGGAGGGGTCAGGTTGGGGAGGAGAGAGAAGTGAGGGCGCCCACCGGCCATCACATTTACATCCTTTTAGTTAAGCAAGAGCGGCTGTCCAAGAGTGCAGGAGATGAGGAAGGATGCCTGGCCCAGATGGTGTGGAGCTGCTGAGCCAGGCCTCCTGGTGCCCTGACCTCTACCAACAGGTCCCAGAGTGCCAATGTCTGGGCCAAGGGTGCCAGGACAAACTGTCTGGGCTCCTACAGTCCATGGGCCTCAGCTGCTCTGGCTGTTTCACCACCGGCTTCAACTGCAAAATACAGGTGCTTAAATACAGGCATTCTCCAAGTAGGCGCTTATGCAGTACCCAGTGTTCCCCACCTACAGCCCGGGGAACCCTAGCAGGGAACAGAGGGCTCCGAATGACCTCCTCGCTGCTCCCTCAGTGACCTCAGTCCACTGGCGACTTACTAAGGAGATCCCATGCCCGTCACTGGAGGAACACCCAATAGCTTATTTCATCTGTTTACTTTGGAATCTACAGGGCCAGGCGTCAGGCCACAACTAAATCAGAGGTATTGCACAAAGCTTAACTTACACACTTATGAAATGGAAATTACTAATTGGTTGATATCTAAATTTGGTTGTAGATTACTCAGAATGCACGCAACTCAAAGAAGTAAAAGAAAGAAGCATCTCATCCCATATCAACACAAAATCCACAACCCCTGCCTAGGGTCTCCATTTCCCTACTATTCTCCAGGAGCTGCTTCTCCTGGTTCTAGCGTATTTGGATCTACAGGTTTTACTTGCTTTTATGTAAATAGTTTGGTGGTAATGTTTTTTCCTGATTTTCCGTTAGTGTTTCATTTCAATACTTCCCTTCCTAATTCTCTTTGGTGAGTTTTTTCATTCAGTACTCTACACGTGGCAGAAACACAATATATGTTTATCCATCTATTACTCATTCCTAGGAACCCTGGGGTTTTTGCTTTTTAAATATTTTTTTACTATAAAATTTTACATGCTAATTGTAGAAAAATTAGAAAATAATAGATTAAAAAAAAAGGAAAGTGCACAATCTCCCATTCCAATTTTTTTTAACTGGTAGGCAATATATTCTTATTTTTTGTATATATGTTTTTGTTGTGGTTTTGGGGCTTTTTATTGTGATAAAATATACGTTGTATGAAATTTACCATTTTAACTATTTTTAAGTGTACAGTTAAATGGCATTAAGTACATTCACTATGTTGTGCAACCATCACAAATATCCATTTCCAGAACTTTTTCATCATCCCAAATTGAAACTGTGCTCATTAGATAATAACTCCCCTTTTCCCTCCCCCAGTCCCTGGTAACTGCTAATCTACTTTGTCTCTGTCAGTTTGACTGTTCTAGGTACTTCCTATAAGTGGAATCATATATTACAGTTATTTGTCCCTTTGTAACTGGCTTCTCTAAGCATCATGTTTTCAAGGTTCATCCAGTTATGGCTGATTAGTAGTCCGTTGTATGGATGGACCACATTCTCTTTATCCATTCATCTGTTAATGGACGCTTGGGCTGTTTCCACCTTTTGGCTGTTGTGATTAGCCATCATAGCTGCTATGAACATGAGTGTACAAGCATCTCACACTTTTTTATATGTCTTTCTTGACTTTTTATCATCAATCCATCTTTCTATGTTAAAACATAACAGTTTACAAATGCAGGTTACGCTGTCATCTGCTTTTACAACTTAGTAATTTATAATAAACTTTGTCACATCATTAAATATCCTACACAATTCAATGGCTGTATATCATTTCATGATATGAGTTTAGGGTAGTGAATGTAATTAATCCACGAACTGTTAGACAGTTAAGATGTCTCCCATTTTTTGCTATTATAAACTACAGTTATAGCTAAATTTGCATTCACAGTCTTATTTCCTTGAGATAAGTCTCTAGACATTATATTGCTGCAATAATATTAACAAGCTAACCTTCGTAAGTGCTTTTTAGGTGACAGACACTGTAATAAGCACTTTACTTATAGTATCCAATTTCTCCAAGCACTGTGAGCTTGCCCGTTTCACAGATGGGACCTGAAGGCCCAGCTACAGGAGGCAGAGTTGGAGGTGGCTCCAGCTTCCGACCCATCTGCTCCTGGGACAGTCTCCAGCTCTGAGCTGCTCCCTTTGCAGTTAATCTTTTGTAAATAAATGGGGAAAACAATACCAACTTTTCTTGGCAACTGTGAAGACTAAGTTAACATATGTAAAGTGCTTAGACTCCTGCACTTAGTACATGATCAGTAATGATCGGGTTTTCTTGTAAATGTTGAGGTATAGCAATTACACTGGCACTCATATTTGGCTATTAATGTTTTTGTCACATGAATTCTCTTCTGCTTTTATAGTTTGAATGTTTTTCTAGTACATCATTACGCTTATAATTACTTTCCTCGTTCTTTTTAAAATATATGGTTTTAGCATATTTGAATTAATTGTATTGCAAAGTAATATAAAACTTACCTGAAACCAAAGCTACTACACCAACATTTATACCACAGACGTGCCCAAAGTGCAAGTCATCTAATCAATTTCACTTCTAACTCTTTCCCTGAGGAAATAAACAAATGCCAAATGATGGATGTGAAAGATGTTCCTTTCATCATTGTTTCTAATGGCAAAACATTTGAAACCTTTGCAACCTGTATGGGAACGTTGGGCCCTACCCGGGTCCCCTTTACTTATATATGCACCCGTCCCTCAGCTTTTGTGAAGGTCAGAGAATTACCTGAGGAAGTTATGGGAGGGGTGGGGAGGACAGGTTCTGGCAATGTCTTCCCCTTGGGCTGAAGAGCAACTCCAGCTCTGAGACCACATTCTTTCTCAGTTTGCTCCCTGCTCTTTCTGCTTCCTCTTCTTTTCTCCCGAGAGCACTCCTTCAATAAATCATCTGAACGACAATTGCCACCTGAGGCTCTGCCTCTGGAGGGTACATGACCTAAGACACAGCTAATAAAAGCGGTGATGAAAATCTATATTCACTGATCTGGAAAGATGTTAAGTGGATGTAGAATATGCCTTTTTTAAATAAAAGCTCAATGAGCATTTATTAAAAGTGCAGAACAGATGTGAAGCCATATATTCTGTATGGACTAATATATTGGGTTGTTGGAAAAGTCATGATGCATTTTTTTTTAAAGATTTTTATTGGGGAATTGGGGGGATGGGAACAATGCTGGGGAATTGGGGGAAGGGGAACAGACAAGTTGGTGTCCTTTTGTTCTTCAGTCTAGTTGTGGAGGACGTTGCTTCACTGGCCCAAGTTGGCACCATTATTGCGCTCTTCC